AAAGCCAAATAAGACAAAATAAAAATAACCCCCTCCAAACAAATGAAACAGAAACAAACTACTGTTGTAGTTTCTGATTAAATAGGATAGGACTGTATCTGAATGCACAGAGTGTTTGCATAAGTGAGGCTAAAATTGTTTTTGTCTCACATGCCATTTATATAAACACCTGGCTGTTTTATGTTGGGAGGAGTGGAAGTAGGGTTGCCAAGTCCATTTTAGCCCCCAGCAGGGGACTTTGGGGGGTGTTCCTGGAGGGAGCAGGGCATCCCTGATGTGATGATGTAACATTGGGAACGTCCACGCCCCCCGCTCCCCCACCCGATGGACGTGCGGGGAAACACCAGCTCCCTGCATTTAAAGGGGCCCCTATAAGTTTCACATGCCCGATCTCCGCTTGGAGATCAGGCACACGGGAAACACCAGCTCCCTGCATTTAAAGGGAGCCCCTTTAAGTGCAGGGAGAAGGGAGAGGGGTGGCTGGGGGTGTTAGGGCTTGGGGGCGGGACTTCCCCCATCGGCCAGCTGGCCGGTGGTAGGTAGAACCCCCCAAAAGTGGGGGACCCCTGCCAAACAAGGGACGGTGGCAACCCTAAGTGGAAGAGAGAGAGATTTGCAGTGCAGATTATTACAGACTTTACATTTCTTTACAAAACTGATTAACACAAGAGCTATTTTAAACTTCATGCATGAAAAAGACCATTGTCTCAATACACTACAACAAAGTCTCTATGTCTCCCCCCCTAGATGCAGTGGTCTGTACTCAATGGCCGTCTGAGCAGGGACCTGCTGTAAGCAACCATATTTAGCCAAGTGGTTGTTGTATCTAAAACACCACCACTTGGCCAACTTTATATACGCTCTGGGTGTCTTGAGTGCTATCCAGAAATGCTTCCATGCTAACCTGTATTTCATGCCAGTCCAACAACATAACTTCCCTGAGGCCATTAAGGTAAGCATGAAGGCTCTCCACTCAACTGGGCTAATCCATAGCCCTGTACAGATGAACTACCAACATTTTGACTGAATGCATGGAGAGGGACAGTGGGCAGGAGCCTGCTGGCCCCGCCCACATCTTGGACCAATAACTGAGTTGTTTATACAGAGCACATGCATGAAGGAAGTGCCCATGTGTACAGTCCCTCCCTGTGGTTAGTGCTGTTGCTTTCCAAACAGGGCTGATGATCATAGGGAGGGAAGTGTACACACAGAGACTTCCTCCATATATTTGCTCCATGCTGACAACTCAGTGACTGTCCCAAGGAAGTGTGGGTCAGAGTGCTTGCTCCTGCCTTCCTTACCTGAATCATCAGTCAACGTGTAGACAGCACATAGCACTCTTATGAGCAATATTTGGGGAACTTTATGATACCACTGGAGGATCCCACCATGAAAAGCACTTTGAGTGTCAAACAAAATGCACAGCACCCTTCATTTGTGACCTATCTCAAGAAATGATATGGATAGATGGTCCATGTTACTAGCATTATTGCTGCATTTATATTTAGGCATCAAGTACATATATACAATAAAATTAAAGATTCTTTGTGTTTTTCAAAATTATACATTCATAAAATCACACAACAAAACTGACACGCAACAGATTTATAATTCAGATAGTGGTGTATACAAGATAAGGCTCTAGTGAATTCTCTCTAAAGGTAAATACTAAACATACATTGAATGGGGAAAAATATTATTTAGGATTTTATGTGTACTTTCTGTAGAATGTAAAATGAGGAAAAGAGGAATGAAATCAGTCTCACAAAAGCATTAATTCTCAAATGAGGTAAATCTTATATGCAAATTCTGTTCTATTTCTTGAGCTAAACCTATCAGCAGTGAAACTATGTGTCAAATTACATAAGAAATTTGCTATAATGTTGAGCATTATTAAAGATTTAATTACATTATCTGGAGACTCAGTCTCGTCTGTAAGTATCCATTTCAAGAAAAATTGAGCTCAGAAGTATTTTTGCATAATGCTTATTTCTTGCAAGCTTATATCTATCTACTCCAGGAAAGTTCCGCCAATCTTAATGAGTCACATCATGCATAGTATTACATTCTGTTATGCCCTAAAGAAGCAAATCAAATCATGTACTGCAACTGCATAACATTACTGGTCACTTCAACACACTATGCAGACAGAACTCAGTATGCCAAATAAGAACAAAAGAAGAGCCCTGCTGGATCAGACCAAAGGTTCATCTAATCCAGCATCTTGGTTTCCACAATGGTGAACATGATGTTCTGGAAGGACCACAGCAAGGAAAACAGACCACTATTGCTGCTGCCCTACAGCAAAGGACATACATAGGTATACTGAATTTGCACATTGATACAATCATGCTTATTTAAGAAACAGAAATCTAAAACATACTGCTAGAGGTTCTGCCTTAGTCAAAAACTGTGACTCAGGCTGTACAGACTCAAAATGAGTTAGCAGAAGAGCAACCACTAATTCAATATTACTTTTGTTAACAGTGTCTGTTATCAAGCTTCTAGAAACTCTTGTGAAGAGTGAATTTAAGGCACCTTGGCAAATGGAGAAGATGTTTTCTGCTTCACACAGTCCCCCAAAACTGTGGGGGGAAACATGCACAACTCATGTGCAACACCTTTTCCCCATGATTCTTGAATGTCACATGAGGAATGAAAATGACTTGCTGTTCTACTGTTTCACTCCCACCCAAAGCTCCTCATGCAGGTTCTTCCCAGACAAAATTCTGATAGTGTTCATCATTATAAGAAAGTTATCAGGTGTGTTATAATCAATACTCCCTCTAAGCTGTTGAGTCTTGTGAGCAAAAATTCTACCTTGTGAGCTACTAGCATTAAAGTTGTGAGTGAGTGATTTGGCCACTGCATAAATTAATTTGTTCTGGAGCCATCCTTCCTGAGCTGAGACAAAAATGAGTGAGCCGGAGGGTAAAAAACTGAGCTAGCACCTCACACTAACTCAGCTTAGAGAGAACACTGGTTATAATACATATGAGTATCCACATAGAGTTGGAATGTTCACATGAAAGCGTTATATGACGGTTACTGGCTCTTTAGTGGGAGTAACAACCAATGTTCCCTCTAAGCTGTGGAATCTTGTGAGCAAAAATTCTACTTTGTGAGCCACTGGCCTTAAAGCCGTGAGTGAGCGATTTGGCTGCTGCATACATTTGTTTGCTCTGGAGCCATCCTGCCTGAGCGAAGACAAAAATATGTGAGCCGGAGGCTGGAAAACTGTGAGCTAGCTCACACTACCTCAGCTTAGAGGGAACACTGGTAACAACTAAATTGTGAAGGAAAATGCATTTGTACAAAAAGAAGGCTTTTATTTTTGTCAGTATCAGAATTCTTCACCTTTAAGACATTGTATTTGTATATTAATGGAAATGAGATGAGTATCATTCTGTATTAATCATGCATGGGATAGACTGTCTGGCATTTGCAACATAATAACTTGTCAGACATTTCTATAAACAGTAGTCTGACACAGGAATTTTTATATTTAAAAAACCAAATAAATAAAACACAGTAGATCTCATTAAAAAGAGGATATGCTTCTTCTTTTTTGCTTTCAGGATGAAATTGAATTACAATTATGATCTGAATTCTTCTCAGCATGAAATGGAGTTTTCCACCATGCTGAGCAATAAAGTACTAACTTGTAAACAATAGATACTGGTTACGTGGGAAGGTAAATCTTGTGTAATACTATTAGAATGAAGTGTATTTGGTGAAGCTGACAAAAATCATTACTTATTATCCTTTGTCACGTGAAAAGTTTAATCTGCACACCTTAATTACATTCTGCTCTTAACAGCTATTATCAAATGCCAAATGGCTTAGTGTATTAGCCTGGTTAATCTCTGCATTCATTCATATTAGAATGAGACTGTGGCCTTGGTTCAGATCCCACACTTATTAGAGCTGCTTCAAGGACATCTGAAATAAAAGTATTAGCCAAAGGCAAATGATATGAAATACAGACAGGCATTTAAGAAATGTAAAAGTATATAGTTTTCTTTCCATGTTACATTTTATATTATTTTGTGGGTTTTTTAAAGGAATGTAACACAATTTGATCTGGCATTCCTTGCCTAAATTAGAACTTAAAATCTGAATTCCATAGCCTATGAGCATGCTACATGCAACTAAACCCTGTAATTTATGGCAGTACCCTATGGACTATTAAGAGATACCCAGATGCAAAGTAATGAGTGGGAGGACTATAGGTTAAGCAATGAATGCATCCTCCTTTTCTTCATTCTGTTCTAATCTGGTATGATGTTACCTTAGATCTGCCCATTGTCAACATAGTTAAAGGGTATGCTAATTCTGAGAAAAGGGCTCCTGAACTACAGTTTAGAATCAGATCAGTTTTGGATCCTCACAGCATTTTTTAAAAAAATCGGGAATGGACTGACCATTTACAAAGCCACATCATCTATGAAATCAAAACCACTGTATGCTCTCAATTATAAAGTTATTTTTAAATGAAGACTGACTACCTGGGTATATGCAACTATTGGGCTGGATTCAATGAGATTTTCTGCTAGTAAAAAAATATATGTCTATGTAGGGGGGGCAAGAGTTCCACTTTGACCATGATAGGATCATGGGGCTTGTATGGACAAAAGCAACATGGATCTGAGACAGTAGTAAGAAATAGAAATAAGCCAGGTCTAGTGAAAAAGATGGCTGGAAAGCACTGTAAAATAAAATCCTTCAAACTAATCTGCATGATAGCAGCATTTGTTTTTCTTATTTGCATGTTGTGGCTTGGGTTTTTCCCCAGACAGAGGAGGACAGGGTTACAGGAAATGCACTTTGGATTCTTATTCACCGAAACAGCTGAAAGGGATCACGTTGGGCAAGAACACTGCACCCGTAGTGGAATGGATAAAGCCACATAAAAGATAAGAAATCTCTTTTATCACAGTTGGGGTAAAAAAAAATAACTTCCTGGGAATCAAGAAACAGACTGAAGAAAAAAGTCTTACCATGGCAGCTGGGTAAGGCTCTGTTCCATCCAGGTCTCCCATCATCTCCCATGATACAAGTGAGTGTAGAGTAACCTTGAAGAACATAACCCGCATCACAGTAATATGTGACTGTTGAACCCAGTTTATAATCCATTCCAAGCCTTGTGCCATTCATTATATTACCAGGATCAAAGCAGGACTCACGGAGTTTGGCTGTAATCAAAAGAATGATGTACCTTTAATGTTGAAGATCTCCCCGCTCCAAGAGCATTTTACCTTAATGTACCCTTCTTGCACTGACCTGGATAGCCCAGGCTACTCTTATACTGTCAGCTCTCGGAGCTAGTAATCAGTACAGTCTTGCTTAGTACTTGGATTGGAAACCCCAAGGAAGTCCTAGGGTCGCTACATAGTACTAGGCAATGGCAAGCAACCTCAAAATGTCTCTCGCTTTGAAAACCCTACAGGGTAGCCATAAGTTGGCTGCGACTTGATGGCAAAATAAGTAAGTAAATAAACAAATAATATATTTCTGTTATACTATTATACACATAAAAATGTCTCTAAATTAGTTAGTTGTTAGAGAGTAATACTGAGTGATGCCAGTTCAAATTTAATTGAAGACATTGTATGAAGATATTGTCTGACCTTATCTTAATAATTAAGATCCAGTGAAACAACACTAGGTGTAATTGTATTGCCTCGTATACAGAAGGTATCAACCAAACAGGCTATCAGGACAATCATTAAGAATTAACCTCCAAGAATTTCCCAATCTGGAGCTGACAACCCTAGCTACCTTGATATGTGTGATTGTCTAATTACTACCGCACAAAGGGATAAGAAAATGAGCAATAAAAGCAATTCTTTTTCCTTAGATCAAAAATGTATGTATCCAGGATACTGAATTAAGAGGTATTAATTTTGATTCCTCAAATTTGTTTCTGGGGTGTGTGTGTGTGTGTGTGGTTCACTCTAGACTTTCTTATGAAGCCATTTTATTGCAGTTAGGCCATAACTTGGCCTAAGCCATTCCTAGCATTATCCAGTCAAGACTCCTCCTCCTACACATCTTTTCTTAAACAAATAATCCTTTCATCTGTTAAACCGCAGCAGGCCCTTTCACTTGTACCTGTCTCCGGGCTGAATAAAGTTCTCCTGAGAATTCACTGGTTAAACAAAGGTCCTACTTCAAAAGGAAAAACAAAACAACACACAGGTTGACCACCATTATTATATTCTTCACACCCAAGCCAAATGAATGCCAGCTTGGGGGAGGGGGGAGCTACTGCCTTTTGCCAACATGTGAATGTAGTTTAAGGCATTAAACATCTATCTTTTTTAAAAACATAGATATCATGGGATAATCTAATCAGTCCGTCTATCAGTCCGTCTATCAGTCCGTCTATCAGTCCGTCTATCATCTATCTATCTATCTATCATCTATCTATCATCTATCTATCATCTATCTACCTACCTACTTACTATGAAAGAACATAAAATCATATGAAGCCTCTTCTGTAGTCTTAAATATTAAATCATGGGCATAGGTTTACCACCTCAGTGAAATCTAGGCCTAAACCGAATGTTGTTATAAAGACTGTTGTGCCACTTGAGACAAGCTATCTTATCCAATAATGGGGGGGGGGGAAGGAAACAAACAAAAGAGGGCTTATGATGTGGCATACCAATGACTGAATAAAGAAAAGGTCACACACCCTGAATCACTGCAAGCATTGTATGGACTTTAAAGGTTTCAAAAATACATGTAACAAACACAATACAAATATCAGAATGCCAGCATTTTCAATACATCATTATGAGCATTTACCTTTATATTCCAAGTGGAAACCAGTAAAACTAACAGATCCATCACTCCGAAAAGCCAAGTGCATGGAGTTTGAACTGCTTTCTATCCTTTCTGGTAACTTGCTGTCTTGAAAGCTTCCTATAAGAGCACTATTGCTGTCTGGCCCATCATAGATATAGAGAAAGTCATAGTTTGGTTCGATACTGAAGCTGGGAATGTTTAAAAAGTGAGAAATGTTAGGTGGAACATGGCTTGACCCATGTTTTCTACCTAAAGTTCTGCTAAGTGGTAAATTAATTCCATAAGAAAGATTTCTCATGCAACTGGGAACTTCGTATAGCGCTTCCTAAGCAATTCCAAGTATCTTTTTGTTGAGTATAATGGTCAATGTTATAGACAGCACTCCATACAAATGAATTAAAAAATACTTTAAAGATTACCATAACCATATTGCACATTTTAAAGGCCATAGCATATATTTTAAGGCCATAGTGTTGTATTACTTCTGACATCAGATTTGCTGTGGACTTTTTATTTGCATATATTTTTCACAAACATTCTCTCAATATTGACCGTTATAGGGCAGAAACGCAGTCTAGATACTATAATTGGTTTGCTTAAGCTATGACATCATTCAGATACTGAAGCCTACTAGAAAAAAAAACCCTGAATAAACAGTATTTAATAGCCAGGATAGCATTGCTCACCTGAGCCTTATTATTATGTAAATATGCAGCTTACAAAATGGGTTCCCAATATCACTTTGACATTTTGGCTTAATCTCACGCACACATTTCCTATAAAAGTTTTTAAAATGTTAGCTCTGATCACCAGTGTTTCAGTTTTAGGGTCAACAACATGTTTTCCAGTGCAGAACACCAATAATGTTCTGAAGAAAACCTTTATGAGCTGCAAGGTTAAACAAAACCCACTCAATTTCAGGACATATTTACAAGACTGAAATGTTTACTGATTTTCACATTAGCCACAAAAGTGCTTCCACAAATGTCTCATGTGGCTAACTTTGTGGTGTGGCAAGGGTGTGTCTTTAGCCATAAGCCATCATATACACCACGTAAACAAATTACTAGGCACACCCCTCACTACATAATATAACAGATCTTTCGTGCTATCCATAAAGTTATTTTTAAAATTTTCAAAATGTTAACTTACAAATTGTACCACTGATAAACCAAGGTAGAGGTAGCCAGCCCACCCCCGGCACACATACTGGGCAGTGGCACACCAGAACATTTTGCTTGGATGGGTGCTATTTTGCTTGGTACCCGATTTATGCCCAAGCAAATGAGGCTCTGGCAGAACTTATGGGGGTAGTGGTGTAAGAGAAGGCAAAAGGCATGGCCCATCATTGCCTCCCAGACCTGCAGAGACTCCAGACAAGTCCAAGTTTAATCTCACAAAGTTGCACTGGAAGGGTAGAGACTTTTTTCCCCTGCACTTGGATCAAAAAAGATTGCCAAGCTCTGTAGTAAAGATATTCAGAACAGATTTCAAAAGCCACTAAGACCACTAAGGGACCACTAAGAAATCATAGGAGGACTAATATATTAGTAAGGCTCTCTCTGCTGTCCAGACTAGTTTTTAAGTACTTGAACAGGCCAGTTTCCACTCCCCCTCCAAAAAAAGAAAAGAAAAAAGATATTCAGTTGCCCTCAGTATTCCATGCTTTCTGGCCATGGTTTGTTCTACATAGGTTGTTTGAGGAGAAGGTTTTTTAAAAATGTTTATTTATTTCGATTTATATCCCGCCCTGGCCCGTAGCTAACATGGGGCCCACGGGGCCCGGCCCCCTAGTGTTTCTTCTGGGCCCCCTCTCTCCTGGGCTGCCCCCAAAATGCTCCAACTTACCACCTGCACTGTACTTCCATTTAATTAGCTGGTGGCCCCCCCAAGGCCCCCTCCCAAATAATTCCCTAGCTACGGGGCTGCAAGGACTTGAGATGCCTTTTAAAAGACTTTTCGGAAGGCTGGGATTGGGTATTATAAAATTTCAAATTACAAATAAATTACATAAAATGCAGTTGAGTACAGATGGCGAATTTCTATGAGGTGGTCCAATGAAGCTAGGGCAGTGTCCAAAGTTGTTCTGAATGCCAGTAGTATGGGGGCCATAATAGCCCAGTTGTTAATACCTCATTCATCAGTGGTGGCTCCTAATTGGAGGCCCATTTTACAGGCCCTGCGGAACTGTAACAGGTCCCGTATGGCCCTGATGTCTTCCGGGAGCTCATTCCACCAGTGTGGAGCCACCACTGAGGATTTCACTCTGTAGATGCCCAGAGTTAGACTGTCTCTTCCCATACTTTCTTACCCACCTGACAAGAGATCTGTATTAAGGTGTGATAAATGAACTGCAGGGACTGGTTTCTCTTCAAAAAGAAATGAAAGAGAAACTCCTTTTTTAAATTAGAGGGGAAAATAGAAAACATCGGTTATATGTAAAAAAAAAGTGAATTTCAAAAAGAAAAAAAGGGGAAAAAAGAATTCAATTGCCCATAACAAAAGTATCTCAAAAACAGGTCAATGACCAGGTAAGGATATCACACACTATTCCCTGAAGTTCTGCAAGTATTTCCCCCCACTAAGTACTGTAATTTCTGAGTAAGGAATTCTACCCAGAAATTGAGCCTATAAAACCCCCATCCAATTTGGCATATATGTAGTAAAGGGTGTAAAATCTCCTTGACTAGACCCAGATTCAGACAATAAAAACAGGTATCCAGTTTCTGAATATCTCCAGGTTTTTAGCATACTTATTCCTCTCTAATGAACAAGGAAAGCATCAGCATTTCAGACTACTGTACCCACACTTTTCATGTGGAACTCTGCATCCATCACTCTGAAAGCCTTGGTGCACTCTAGTTTGGAAGCGACTTGGTTGCCACCATTTAGAAAGCCCAGAGTGACAATGACATGTTGATCATTTTAAATTTTGTCCAACCAAACACTTACCTGATAAATGCTAATGATATTACATAGTCATTATTGACAGTGATAGTCCAGTCACAGTCTCTGCTATGGGGATAAGGATGAGGGAAATTTGGTGAAAGAATAAAACCTGATGAGCCTGTCAAATTGCCTCCACAAGGTGCTGTGAATAGATCAAACAAACAAAAAAATACTAAGTGATCCCCAACAATCTTTCATTTTATTTTAAATCAGCCAAATTATTCTGGTTTATTAACTACCACCAGCACCAGCAGCCCAGATGATATCCAATGCTATTATTTTTAGCATCTCGAAACAAGACAAACCTTTTGGTTACAAAAATGGGGGAGGGGGGAACCAGTGTTCCCTCTAAGCTGAGTTAGTCTGAGCTAGCGCACAGTTTTTTAGCCTCCAGCTCACACATTTTCGTCTCAGCTCTGGAAGGAGGGCTCTGAAACAAACTAATTTATGCAGTAGCCGAATTGCTTTGCTCACAACTTCAATGCCAGTAGCTCAAAAAGTAGATTTTTTTGCTCACAAGACTCCACAGCTTAGAGGGAGCACTTTCAACCTTTTGAATTGTGTTGGCATCGCTTGCATTTTGTGTACAGGGTGTTACAATGTGTAAGATACTTGGATATCATATATCCAATTCTGAACAGCATCACAAAGGATATGATCAGCAGATCTACAAAATACAGCTAGGGACAGATAGGGAGAATTTCCTCTGCAAACCTGAAGAAAGTCCCAGAGTAGCAAAAAAAAAAAAAGAGAGAGAGAGAGAGAGAGAGAGAGAGAACCCCCCCCTGAAATAATAGAAACAATGCCTGTAGCTTTAAAAGAATACCCTCAGCAGTCATTCTGGAGGTTGGTTTTAACATAACATAAGCCCTGCAGGATGACCAGTGTTCCATCTCACCCATAATCCAGTTTCAGAGTGACCCAGGGCTCTTTTTGTAGCAGGTATCCAGTTTCTGAATATCTCCAGGTTTTTAGCATATTTTGGAGCAGTAACTCCGTTGCATATTAGGTGACACACCCCTAATGTAGCCCATCCTCCAAGAGCTTACAGAGCTCTTCTTACAGGGACTACTGTAAACTCTTGGAGGACTGGCTACATTAGGGGTGTGTCGCCTAATATACAAAGGAGTTCCTGCTACAAAAAGAGCCATATATATATATATATATTTCAACAATGAAATTGAGACATGGATTGAATGGAATCAGGTCATCAGGACACATTAAATATAAACATTTGAGTTTACAGATTACAAGGAGAATCTAACATTCCTTCACTATTACAACTAGGAAGAGGAGAAAGAGGAGGCGATTTGTAATGGCCATTGCATTGCTGATGATGACTGAAATCAAATGACTGAAAATTTTCCTTCAGATTTTATGACACTCAGTTCATGTAATGAATGTCAAAAGAGGTTGCAATAATCTGGGGGGGGCAGATAAAATGTCGGTAGGTAGGTAGGTTGGTTGGTTGGAAGAAAAAAAATGAGGATATGGTGGCTGCCAGAATGAAACAAATAGCATATGGAGAGGATGCAGGGGAAAAGTAAGGTGCTCCATGCAAGTCCTTGCAGGTTCCCCTCATGCAACCAGGCCCAGCGTAACTAGCATAATAAAAATCAGCCCAGAGCAGAGGCTGGGCTGGCACCATTCAACTGGGCTAAACTTTTCTAAGGGACAGGCTGCCAGAGGGAGGGAGGGGGAGGGAAGGAAACCTGAAGATGGGGACTGACGAAGAGAGGTTGGCTGGTGGGTGGAAGAAGGAATCAGGAAAAGAGAAGAGGCTATGGGGACTTTCAGGAAAGGAAAGAAGGAATAAAATAGAACAAGAAGACGAGATGTCCCCCACAAGTCCCTGTGGGTCCTCCACTTGTACTACTCTATTCCGCACCATCGCCAAAAATATTCCTTCAAATTAAGATTTTTTTTAATGGAATAGCAATTTTGTGTTAGGAAAACAACAATGACAAAAAAACCCTGCTGATAAAAAGTATTATAAATACAGAAACTATTAGTTTCTGATCAATGCCAAAAATTATACAGTAATCCCATGTGCCTATGCTTTGAATATGTTTTGATTGCCACAAACAAGTGTAGGGTGGGGAGGATCAAGCCACATATTGCAGTAAGGTACAAAGAACAGTTAACACATGGCAGTAGCCACTAATAATACACATGAGGTATATTTGATTGCTAATTTTTAAAACCATCTTAAAGTATCCCATATTAAATAAATGTTTAAGATAGAATACCCAGAAACTGTGCCAGCATACAGTTCCATAAAAGATGGATCCAAGGACATTGTTCCAGGAACATCGCTCAAGTGAATTCAGACACATATGGTGGTAGAAAAATTTAGAATGGACCATAACACTCATGCATTTTGATTTTAACAGGCAGACTACAATGTGCATTTCTAGAACTCCTTTGATTTCTTTTTGTGCGATGCCTTTTTACATCGCCAGGAGAAAAGTGCATGGTTTCATTAAAGCTTTCGTTTTGTTTTGTTTTAAAGAACACATCTGGGGTAATCATATTTTCCAGGTCGTCACAGAAAACAAAGCTGTTGAATGTTTGCCCTTTCCAGAAGCATCTGATCTCCTAGTCATATTAAATATTTACAAAGTACATTGTCACAACACATTGTTCACACAGAAAGTTTAATAAGGCAAAATGATCAATTCCCACAAAGCCGGATTTCTTTATCTTTAGTTTTATCTTTAGAATATCCTTTAACAAGCAATTCTCTGTATAGCGAAACGATTTCGTTCTAAATTCAACTGCACAAGCGTTACAGTCAATTTGCTACCGGATCCAAAGAAAACTGAGTTTCTGATCAAGTGGCATGGCAATCAGGATTTCCCTTCTCTGCTGGAACAGGGTATGGCTAGGTATGTATGGGTATGCCCTCTCTCAGGGGTCCCCAGTGTGGTGCCCGTGGATGCCATAGCACCCGCCAACACCTTTCCTGGAGCCCACCAAGTGTTTTTAGAAAGTGAGCAGGTCGGGGAGGGGTGCTATTGGCCACTGGAGATTTGATTGGTAGTGCAAATTTTTTTAAAAAACGTTTCTTTGGCAGACGTTGCCACGCATAACACTAGGATCTTTATGGCATGATTGAAGGTAATCTGTGGCGACTATTTATGGTAGGGTTGGCCTCTTGCAACAGCCATTTTGTGGCTGTGCCCACCCCATTGTGTCTGTATTCCAAAGATACCGACAGGCTCACAAAGTTTGGGGGAGGGGACCCATTTTATCTCATTTCTTTTTGTTTTCATATGGCGCCTTTGCATTTTGCTCATTTCCGGTGCAGAGTTCCTGATCCATTTATGGCTGCAGCTCCTTTAAATATTTTTACTTCATTTGTAAGTTGCACTCCCTTTTTCCCCATAATTTATACACAATTGATGTGAAAACAGCAGTATTCAAGACCAGTAGCACCTAAAAGACCAACAAGATTTTCAGGGCATACCCTCTCAAGAATCAAAGCTGCCTTCATCAGATAGCTTACATCCCTGCAAAAAATTTACACCTATGGAAATCTTATTCATGCATTCATTCATTCATTCATTCATTATGATTGATTATTATTATGAACCTTCAGGGTAGGGCGGGATATAAATTCAAATATAAATAAGATTAAAAAAATAAAATAAATTTTCAATTTACCTCCCGCCTTGCTGGGGAACTGGCTGAAGGTGGTGTACAAACATTAAAATACAATAAAACAGTAAATACAATAAAATACAATAAAAAAATAATAAACCTTGTTGATCTTTAAGGCACTACTGGATTAGAATCTTGCTGTTCGACTGCAGACCAACGTGGCTACCAAAATTATCTGATGTAAAAATAGCTGTCAATGCTAACAGTAATAGCTTGGATCCAGAGGAGAATTTCTGTAGTGAGAAGTAGGGAGGGGGGTTGATATTTACCAATTCCACCTTCCTGGTGCACAATTCGAGTTCTCCCCTCACACTGTTCCTAGGGGGGTCCTCTGTCACCCAAGAACAGCATTTTTGGAGGAATGTTGGACAGTGGAAGGCGGTGGGCAAGAAAGTTGTTTTCCACTGATGGAAATCCCTTGCATCAGTGGAAATTTCCAGTGGATCGAACACATTGATTTTATCTGAATTTATCAGAATGTATGCATGGGAAGGGGGTAGCTGACGTTACGGCCTAACGTCGAACACATTGATTTTATCAGAATTTATCAGATTTTATCTGAATTTATCAGAATGTATGCATGGGAAGGGGGTAGCTGACGTTACGGCCTAACGTCGAACACATTGATTTTATCAGAATTTATCAGATTTTATCTGAATTTATCAGAATGTATGCATGGGAAGGGGGTAGCTGACGTTACGGCCCAACGTCGAACACATTGATTTTATCAGAATTTATCAGATTTTATCTGAATTTATCAGAATGTGTGCATGGGAAGGGGGTAGCTGACGTTACGGCCTAACGTCGAACACATTGATTTTATCAGAATTTATCAGATTTTATCTGAATTTATCAGAATGTGTGCATGGGAAGGGGGTAGCTGACGTTACGGCCTAAGTGAGGAGAACCCATGTCAGAAATTAGGATGTCTGAAGCAAAACAGTGGCATTTATGAAATCCAGTAGCATCCCTACATGCTGGCTATAAAAGGCCGCAACCAAAGGATCACACCAACTTTCTGAAGTTGTTTTATAGGATGCACAGGTCTGCTGTGGGAAGGAAACCACCTAAGTTGCTAAGAATCTCATCCACAACTGGCTAACCCTAATTATGAGAATAATAATAATAAAGCTTTTGAATAAATTGTGAAACCATTCACTGATTTGTTAATGAAGTGTGAAGGAGCTCTGGCCTGTTCACAGATAATTGTCCCATGGAGGCTTAATGAGTGGATCTCACATTTGTAGCTAGTTTTCCTTCATTAATTCTAAGAATATTGACTTTTGGCTTTGTGATGGGGTAACTATAACATGTTTTTAGAGTCAGAAAAGCAGTTCTCTCTTCTCTTGGTTTCTGCATACCTATACAGACTGGTGGGTTGGGCTGCCAGAAGTACCGATTTTCTACCTGAATGCAGGTTATTCTCTCATCTCCTTGCAATTCATAGCCAGGGTCACACTGAAAAATGACTGTGTCTCCAGGCTCTCTTCCATCCCCATTTCTGGTTCCATTCATGGGGACACCGGGGTCACGGCAAGCTGTTGCTACAGAGCCTAAGAGATACCAAAAGAAATATTTTAATTCCATATTAAGCTACATGCAGCACTGCCCATATGGTGGGTGGACTCTACAGCATCACATCCCTGATGACCTCCCTCTTTTCTCCAGACTGTGTCATCACCAGGCAATGCACCCAAATCTCCAGAAATTTCCCAAACCAGAGGTGGCAACCCCAGCTGTATAGCCTATTTAAAGTGCATTACATAGTTCTGGTGGGCCAAATAACTTCCTAGGCCTCTTTTCTTTGGGGAAATTATCACAAAAATACATGATCCAATAAAACACATCTTTTATGCAATTATTCCTTTTATTTGCCATCTGTTTTAATTACAGAGCGTGCTCACATTTTTGCAGATTCAATGTAGCATTTCAGCACTTGGAATGCAATAGCACACGGGTTGGTAGGAAGGTTTTGCTGAACAACTTACGCAAAAAGTGTTTTTTGAAGGATCAGGAATGGTTTATGTTGTTCCTGCAAACCTTCCTCTGTACATTCAAGATTGCCACTGTGTACCTCAGGATAATTCAACTGGCTTTCTATTTCTTCCTTCCAAACCCCCCAAAAAACATATTTCACACCTGAAGCAATCAAACACACCAACATCCATGCAACTTAAGCACTGCTTTATTATCCCTGTTGGACCCAGACTGGGGTTTACACTTATTCAGTTCTATCCTCCTAATGGTTAATTGGGTCTAGGTGGCCATAGAGATATTCCAGTGTGGGGGGGGCACACCACCCTTACTGAGCCTTTTTATACAAAAAATACTTGTCTTTACCATTTTAAGTCAAATTGTTTTATAAATGTTAATAAAAAAAAAGAAAAAAAAAGATTGCCACTGTGTATCTCAGGATAATTCAACTGGCTTTCTATTTCTTCCTTCCAAAAACCCCCAAAAACATATTTCACACCTGAAGCAATCAAACACACCAACATCCATGCAACTTAAGCACTGCTTTATTATTCCTGTTGGACCCAGACTGGGGTTTACACTTATTCAGTTCTATCCTCCTAATGGTTAATTGGGTCTAGGTGCCATAGAGATATTCCAGTGTGGGGGGGGCACACCACCCTTACTGAGCCTTTTTATACAAAAAATACTTGTCTTTACCATTTTAAGTCAAACATTTGCAGAGCTCAGTGGTATAGCACTCGCTTTGAGAAGGACTTAGTTATACCCCTGATATCTCCATTCGAGTAGCAGGTGACGTGAAAGGTCTCTGAGACTTTGGAAGCTGTGGCAGAGCAGCCAATATTGGACTATGTGGACCAGTGATCTAACTCAATACAGGACAGCTCCATGTATTTACTGAACATGTGATACAACAGCAGCATATGTGTGACAAGACTGCCAGTGATCATCAAGACTTTTCATAAGATCTGTGCTTCCCCAAGACTCCACTGCAGTTCAGCCAGAAGTTATCGCAGTGGTGATGTCAATCCCAAAGGAAGGTGAAATACTGTTTCAGGACTAACCATAAGAACTCAGAACAACAGCTGTGCATGGATAAGATGTGTATTTAGTTTTCCTTGATAACATTCGTACTTAAAACTCGGCATTGCTGTGCTTTGTGTGTTATTTTTAAGTTCATTTTCCCCACCTCTATAATATTATTGACTTATTGTGAGCATTTTATTGGATGTTGTTTTAAAATGCCCTTTTGCACCCACATTCTTATTTTGTGTCTCTTCTCTCACCCACAGCCTGCCTGCCTTCAGTGTGTTTGGTACTCTAAATTCATACTATTATGTGCACTGAATAACATTGTTTCTATTAGCTGTTCATTTCTCTCAATATATCGTTCATTGCTCCCCAGGAAAATTTGTGGAGTAAGCACAAATTCCAACATAGACTCTTCTAACCTTGCATTCACACCTGCAATGCAGTATTGACAGAAAACTGCTTGCATGGTACAGAGAATTAAGCTAACTCAACTCTTTATGCACACAGAGTTTTCCAGTCTGGAATATTATTACTGTAGTCATTAAACTGTTAAATTACAGAGGGGTAGCCGTGTTAGTGTATTGTAGCAAAATAAAACAGAAGTGGCCCCTTAGAGACTAACAACACTTATTCCAGCATGTGCTTTCCTGAGTTAAAACTCATTTCTCCAGATGCTTGTTCAAACCCGTTATAAGCAGAACCTGCTTTGATAGCGATAGAAGATAGCGGTAGAAGTCGCTGACAAAGGCCCATTCTGCATCTAGCATTCATTGTGCTGTTTTACCAAATCCACACTGGAACAGAAAAAGATGCGGCTCAAAACCACATTCAAATACCCTGGGCCAACACCATACTGACTGCAGAGTCACCCCTGAACAGCCAAAAAATGGCCATAAATCTATGCAGACACTGCCATAAAACCAAAATATCAAAGGAAGTGAAACCGGCATGCAGGGTGGAGGATTCCATAAAATCTGACAATCAAAGAAAGTGAAAGTGGCATGCAATGTAGAGGGGAATTTCTGTTCCAATGTGGGCTTGGTAAAACAGCGGAGTGAATGCTAGATGCGGAATGGGCCAAAGAATGCAATCTGTGCACAGTTCTTTGAAGAATAAAATGGCTGTTCTGCAGTCAAGAACCTTTTCTATTGGGAGAGGGAATGTTGGAAGCCTGGACACAGTTACATAATACAAAATGCTTTATGCCCCTGTTCAGAAACTAATTTTTAGCAGGGTACATATTTTTCAAGTGATCAAGGCTAGAAGCCTCGACTCCAGCCGCTGACTCATGTCTACACAAGCTGAACCCCACAGAAGGGGCTCTTTACCCTCCTCTGCCTTCAGCATGTACAAAGACAGAAGTTTTGGTGGAAAATCATACTTTAGCAGAACTTTTCCTACTCTTGTCCTGTGTGGGTTCTGCAGAGGAGTAGGCAGATGATGGCCAGGCTATACATGATGGTAGCTATTATTTCTGTTTAAACACAGAATGTAAAAATTGAGGAGGGTGTGTGTCTGATTTTAAAAGGAAACAAACAAACAAAACTGTTATGCTAGAAAAGGGTGTCTTCTGTTCGTCTCCCCAAAGTTTCTCTCCCCAAGTCCTCTTCTCCTCCGACTTGCTTCAATACTATATGTGTGTTTGGACAGGAGGTAAGAATGTGAAGAGAAGATCACAAAGGCGTAAGTTTCATTCACCAACAGGATATGCTGCTCTGTTTGTCTATACATGCCCACCCTTTTTGCTTTTAAAAATCAGACTACTACTTTCCTCTGTGTGAATGTGGCAGCCCCACATCTCAAATCAGTCCTATAATTCTCATGTCTGGTTTGGCCCTGAGGTGCTCCACAAGAAATATGAGCCTCTACTGTTATTCATGGTTCATGTGCAGGTGGGACTACTTGCCTAAAACGCCCCCCCCCCCATTTTATAAAAGTATCACTGCTATGCAGTAATTGGCATGTTAGCAAGACTAACAATCACAAAATCAACATTAACATTGTTGGTAGCACTTTGGCCGCACAATAGTGTCCTTTAAGCATCGTGGCAACTTTTAAATCTCAATATTCCTCTAGCTTTAAAGCCAAACCTAATTACATTCTTTATTCCATTTTTCCCTTTTATTCTGACAGTTTGCTCATGTTGCACTTGTTCTGGTTTTGAATTTTAGTTTCAATCTGAGCGGTATAAGTCATTTTAAAAGCTCTGCACAAGCACATTGTTACTTTGTGTTGCTTTATATAATCTATCTTAGAATCACATCTGCCTTCTTCAAAGCTACTTCACATTCATGACTCATCACCATCCAGTGATGAATAAATCCCCAAGTTTCTCTTTCTTCTCCCATCTCTAAAATATTAGTTTTGTGCAGACAGAGGGGAAAAATCAAATTATTCTCCAAATGTTCTTTTCTTATACTTTCAACTATCAAATGTCATTCCTTTTCAATTACATGAATCCATGAACCTATCTAGTACTCTCTGTATAATCTTCTGTCTATTCCAACAATGTCATCATTAGCAAATTTCATGAATCCACCGCATTATCTATCACTTAGGTCATGCCAAGGAAATATGAAATAAAATGTTTTCAAGGCTAATTTACAATCTTTTCACTGGTAAACGTTATGGGCAATGCTCTAGCACCTATCCTCTTCTTAGCAAGTTATTTGCTTTATTCTTCCTTTCTTAATTGCCATTGTCTCTACCTAGTGCGGCAGAAACCCATCATGATTTTAAGAAAAATGCATCTTCAGCTTCTAAAAAAAATGGAGAGTGAAAAAGAGCAAAAGAGCAAGTCTATCAGCTTTTTTCCAATACTGTAGTATGTTTTGTTTTAAATTTCAGAACTATGGACAGTAGTGTGAGAATGTCATTCATCATAAACTTTTGGCAGTAAACCTTATCAAAGCAAAACATTTCAGCTGCAAGAAACCCTCGATAGCAAACATGAAAAGAAGCCATATTAATTTTTTAAGTGATTAAGTTTTGCAGGGAAGTCAAAATCCCTGTGCGAATTCTGCTGGTACTTCTGCTATGCCTAAACATGTGTTAGTTTATTCTCTTACTGGATATGCAAACACTGTGTTTGTATTTTAAAAAACAACAACACTTGAGACCACTGTTGCCCAGCAAGGAGCTTTGTGCGCTTTTATGGACATAAATGGACCGTGTATAAAATGTGCAAAAGGGACTCTGATGCAAGGTGACCAGATTGTGATGCCAGACATGCACCAGCAGTAGCCTGAGATGATGTGCCCGTGGTTCTCGAGGTTGCCCTGTTCCCAGATGTATCCCTACACACATGAAGCACTCCAAAAACAGCCATCTGCCATTGCAGTTTAAATCACAGACTCCCAATGCCATTAAAAGAGTCCTTCTTCATCACGCAGGCAACTTCCCTTCCCCCCCTTCTCCGCACGGAAGGCACAAAAGACTCTTCCTTTCACTTGACAAATCCTGTCGAGGAAACAGTACCTGGCCTAGGAAATGGACTTCAATAACAATAGGTGCTAGCCGATGAGTCATCTCTACCCTGGAGGTGTCTCAGCCACAGACTTTAATATTGACCAACCCTTTAAGCCCCCCATCCCCATTGTGGATGTGACTTTTTGGAACGGACCACCAGGGGTTGTCTCAAGGGAGGTGGCCAGCAAAGTCCTCCCCCCAGACCCCCCATTCAAAAGTGGGCACCCAGCAATGTGCTCTCTCTCTCTCTCTTGACCTATCTAGACCCCTCTCTTGCTCTCTAAAGTCTCCACATGTTTCTGGCTGGTTCAGAAAATGATTCCTATTTCTTATTAGTCTCCCCTATTTTTCCATTTGGACATATCATCACGCCGGATAGGTAACTATTGCCCCTCAACGATATCCTGTTCATACAAACATCTCTTGATTTTTCCATCTGATTTTCTTAGAAGCTGTGTAATTGTGTTTGTGTGCTTGTGTATTGTTTGCATGTGACAAATTTACAGTAAAGGAATCCTTTTATGTTGGAAACCAGCCTCCATGTCTATTTCTGGTGCCTCTGGAAGAAGCGGGACCCCTGTATATAAAGGTGTTGGTTCCCTTATTGCCTATTGCTATTTTATAATATCTCATATCCCCCAATATTGATAATAACTCAGAGCAATCAGGCTAACACCACAACCTTATCGAACTTTACAGGTTGCCCAGTAAATACACAGCTAGGGGAATTGGGGTGGAGAAACACTTACCCAGAGCTTCCCTATTCATTGCAGACTATTCTCGTCTGGGCAGATCCATAAAATACTCATAATGAGGACTGAACTGTGCTCTATATGAGAGATCCATAGGTTCTGAAGATGGATGGTTCTCTTAGGAGATTCCTGTGTTGCCATCACCACTGGATCCCTAACTGGAGCCTGCTGCAGGGTAGTGGCCATGGGGAATCCCTCTGGAGATCCTGGAGATTTTAAAGCTGACCCTGGGCAGGTTTTGACAGCCTTTAGATAGCAGCAGGATTGGAATTCTCTGGATAACTTTGTCTACCTAATGTAGACCTTTCAATCATTCCTTGCACAAAATAATATGCTAACTATGCCCATCTGTCTGCTATCAATACACACAGACACACACAGAGAGAGAGAGAGAGAGAGGTTGGGAAGCAGACCAAAGCTGAGAATCTAGACTCAGGACTGATATATTGGGTCATATCTGGCTGTCAATGTGGGATAAAGGAGCTCAAAAGCTTATTCACAAGGCTGCAAGATCACTGACATCTATGCAGAATCAAGGATTGAAAAGTAAAGTTCAAGGACCCATACGAATGTACAAGGACTTTAGAACTGACCATGCTGCAGTACTTTAAGCTCATAACTGGCCTAGAAGTTCTGTGGAACAGTCAATACAATGGATCCTTATGTAGCCTTAAGAACTGAAAAGTGCTTCATCTTATCACATCTGGGAAATGTTCACTTGGTACAAGAACGCTCACAGCTTAGGTTCAAGAATTCCTGACATAATATATTTCTTTGGGTATTTGTAATGGCAGGGGTGGGGGCAGAATACATACTGTAATCCGAATATTCACTGAATTTTAACTGTCAACAATTCAAAGCTGAATCATCCTAATGATCACTATGGCAACACTTTGACTGTCTTGCACACCATTTGGATCAGATGTCAACATTAAAAGAATTTAATGAAAGGGAAAGGATTAACGAAAGGGAAAGGATTAATGAGAAAGATAAAGACAAGTCTCTTAGAAATTGAGTGTAAGATTATTTTTACCCTTTGATATTATGATTCTGCATTTGGGTCAAAAATAAGTATCATTTTTGTGGCTGAATAAAATATATATTTTGTTCCATCCGAAAAGGAAGGCTGAGTATCTTGAATAACTTCAATCAGATGGCAAGGGAAAGGCCAACTAATATATCCAACTCACTAATTTAACTTTGAAAGGACAACTTTCTAACCTCAGAGGTGTGGTGTGCATTTCTTCATTTCATGAATAAGACAAAAGGAGACTCCTTCAAATGTGAAAATAGCTACTTAACATGTCCAGCATTAGAATCCGGTTTTTAAAACTGCCACAGAAACATTCAGAAGGACAAAGATACCCTCTGTACTGACCTGAAAGAGCCTAATGTTCGCATTCATGTTTGATGTGGCTTATATCGGCCAAGTGAAAACAGGCTGTCTTCTTGCTTATTTATAAATAAGCATTAAAAATACCAGTCCTGTCTTGTTATTTGTTATTGTACTTGCAAAAGTAAGGAATGTACAGTGTCAGAAAAATATTTTAAAACATTTTTTTTTTGGGGGGGAGCCTGTTTCACAAAATGTCATGGGGCAGGGGACAGGATGGTGTCATTGATCATCTACCATCTCACAGACATTATCCAACATATGTCCATACTTTCATGCAACAATATTCAACACACCATTCACAATGGACTGGCTCAACTGGTGGAAAAGTTATATTTTTCCACAGACAAACATTATTTCTTCATAATATTTTTCCACAGACAAGATTATGCATGGGATAGAGCAGGTCGAGAAAGAGGTACTTTTCTCCCTTTCTCACAATACAAGAACTTGTGGTCACTCAATGAAATTGCTGAGCAGTCAGGTTAGAAAAGGAAATACCTCTTCACCCAAAGAGTGGTTAACACATGGAATTCACTGCCACAGGAGATGGTGGCGGCTACAAGCAGGAACGGCTTCAAGAGGGAATTAGATAAGCATATGGAGCAGAGGTCCACCAGTGGCTATTAGCCACAAGATATAGATAGGGACTCTCGGTCTGGGGCAAGTGATGCTCTGTATTCTTGGTACTTGGGGGGACCTCCTGATGGCACCTGGTATTTTTGGCCACCGTGTGACAGAGTGTTGGACTGGATGGGCCATTGGCCAGATCCAACACTGGCTTCTCTCATGTTCTTATATAATTTGAAAAAGAAAAGAAAAGGCAATAGCAGCACAACAGAGGAGATTCCTACAGGGAGGATATGGGGATACAAGGCTGATATTTATCATGCTATACAGGCTGATGGCCTGGGAAAAGGCTTTCTCTTTATTTCCTATTCCAGGAAATTACAAATGGAGAAGGAAGTGTTGTTAAGAGAAATTCTCTTCATTCCCTTTTACCTAGTTTATCCCAGAAATCCAACAATCCTATTATTTTCTCTTTTTTTAGGAAGCTGGAGCCAGTTTCTAATCAATTGGGTTTTGACCAAGATAAATTTGAAGAGGGGCAGAAGGGTCCACACTCTGTAGATGCTCAGAGGAAGAAAATGTTTTCCCAAACCTTCCTGTCTTCTTACTTCAGTGCCACCTTGTGGCATGTAACATAATACAACAGCAAGGGCTGAAGTTACAGAAGGAAAATTTCTTCTTAGAAGAAAATGGAAATGCCTCTTTTGAAAAAGAAAAAAAAGAAAGAGAATAAGAGGAATCAATGGCTATATCAAAATAGGTGAATTTTGAGGGGAGAAAAGGATATTTCACTGCCTGTAACAACACTAGGAGAAAGCAGACATGCCACACAGCATTTGGCCAGTGATACCTGGGAATCCACATGTACAACTACTACAATCTACAGTGGTCCTTTCCCAAACTCACCATATATATAGGCAATTGTGGAACAAGGTAGGAAACAGCTATAGTGCCACAAAAAGCCTGTGGGAAAAGGGATGTGCTTGTTGGAGCAGCTGGCTTTCTCTTTTCATAGTTTAGCACGAAAACACTGAATTGAAGGTACCGACAACTGCTGACTGTCCTCATCCTACGACACTTCCCAACATGCTGAAGAGATTAAGAGCTTATCAGGCTCCAGATTGAATTTTCTTCTGTGGAGGAGCCTTCAGAAAACAAGGAGCTGCATTTCATTGTATAAAAAAATATATATGGCAGCTTGTGATTTTTTTAAAGGCCTTTTCAAGCAAGAGTGCTGCGAAAATCCAGAAATCTCCACATCAGCAAGGAGAACTATTAGGAATCTATTCAGAGGCCAGCCATAGATTGAGGATGGCAGACAGAGTGTGTGACAGTTAAAACTGCAGATAAAATCCTTACAAAGTTTTAATATTTCTTTGAGGCTTTATTATTTTTCTTACTGTTTAAAACTGCATAACGGGTTGCCTTTGGTAAGCTGCAAACTTTAGCAATCAACATGACCTCCAGATGAATTTATCTTGTTCAACACTTGCAACTGGGTGCAACTTTACCTTGATGGACACGGATGAAGTTTGTATTCAGCAGCATTGAGCCTGTGTAGTATCTGCTTATGCCACAAGCTTACTTTTGGGTCATTAACCAATGATGTGGTTGCTATGGTTATTTATTTATGCATTTGTTTGTTTGAAACTGTTGCTGTTACATCAATACACCACTTAGTCAATGTTCTATTTCTATCATTAGTCAATATTTCTGATGTCATGGTGTACTTGCTCAAACTAAACAAAACAAGCAAACAAAATAAAGCTCAGGTAGAGTCTTCCCCCCCCTGTTTTGTATATTATGTTTTCTTGTTAATTTTAATAAAAATATAACACATATTTCCACAAATGAATAGCAAAGCCTATGGCTAGGATTCAAAGGCCTGCTCACAGTCTGTGAACACTGAGGCTCTGCCACCCCCCCACCCCACAAAAGGTCCTCATAACTTACTTCAGAAACAAAAATTCCTTCTTTCATATTCCAAAGCAATAATGAAACTCAACCATCATCGCAAACGAACAAGTAGTTACAAGATTACCTGGCTCCATTCTGAACTATGCAAAAACCTAATGTACACATCAATGAAATGAAAATCACCCTGGATACATATGCACATATTAACTTACTTGAAAACTGGATGGCAAATCCCGATTTGCTGATATAAAAGTCTGTGTCAAACTGGATTGTTACTATGTTCAGAGTACTGTGGATGCCTTCTGGAATAAGAGAACCACTGATTTCTTTTAGTAGCATGTCATTTTCAGGTGGACCATCCCAAACACGGAGTATATCATGCGACGCTTCAGTATCGAATGCAAGAAACTGGAGGCTGTTAAAAACACCAAGGGCACTAATAATTATAAGACAATAATTGTAATATGTCAATAAGTTTACATATTATGTATTGGGTAGAATCTGAAATTATTGTGGACAGAAGGGTTTCCATTTGCAGAAGAATAATTCCCTTGCCTCTCCTTCCTACTGCAGGTCCCAAAATGCTGCTCCTGTGGGATGGGACATTGCCCAGAAATAGCTGGGGGGCAACTAAAGGTCTGCTGAAAGAGCAAGATTAGTAGAAATGCCCCCCCTTTGTACACATGAAAATGTTAAGTGGTTGTAACTCTATAACTTACAAACTAACCAACTTTGTAAACCTATGGGGGTTAGGTAGTATGACTGAACTTTAAGTTCCTTTCTCTGCTATAGTTCATTGGCTATGTCTTTATAGTACAGTATAGGCTTTCCCCCCCTTTTTGGGGGGGATAAAATACATTTTATGGAGGGAGGTGGCAAATAGATTGTGCAGGACATTTTAAGTGCCAACTTTATAGAATCTTCAGAGGAGATGGTCGCTATGCAAAACCCCCCAAGACTTCTTTTATTCCTTCCCCCTCACGTCCTGCCATTGAACTAAACACAGCAACATAAACGGCTGAAGAAGCAGGGTATATGGCACCTGGGCCATCCATATCAATGTAGAAATCAGTGCCTAAGACAAATGCCCCACGTGTCCAGTGCACAGAATAGCAATATCTGTGTTTCTGTATAAAGCGGTATAGCTGGTTCCAAAAGTCAGATTGCAGACCTAAAGACTGGTGGGTTTTCCAGCAAAACATTAACCAGAAAATTTTCCAATTTTTGAGAGAGAAAAGAGTGATACCCTAAATAGAGCATGATCTGATATATTTATTTTGATTTGTGTTTAGTAAACAAAAAGTACCTCATTTTAATTTTCTGTCATAATAATGCAAAATACTTGATCTGAAATAGCTGATAAGGGAAAACAAAGAGTGGTTTTAAATTATAATAAATTTAATGTTTTCTGTGAAAATATACTAATTTCTTTATTGGGGGGGGGGGATTTTTATCCTGCCTTCCCCTGCAAGTGGGTTCAGGGCGGGTCACAAGAAGGGATCTCCCTTATATATAAAAGCCGAATGGTGGTGGCACTTCTGTAGAACATTCCACACACTCCAAAATCAGTTCGCTCTCTGATCTGTCATTCAGAGGGTCTCCCTATCCACTGGCTGCTTTGCCTGAGTCCTGCCTCCAACATTCTAAACATTTTGCTGTTCCTCTCCCCCCCATAGCCAGTCAGAACACAGAGGTTATTTGCATATGCAGCCTCATTGGCCTTTGCCTCGGAACACAGAGGTCGTTTGCATATGCGACTTGATTGGCTTTTGCCTCTAACATTCTAAACAGTTTGCTGTTCTGAGGTAAAATGTGTCCAGTCTCCAGGTGATGGCTGGAGATCACTCAGTATTACAACTACTTTCCAGATGGCAGAGATCAGTTCCCCTGGAGAAAATGGTGGGCTCTGTATCCTTATATGCTGCTGAGATGGCCCCCATATGACAGCCAATGTGACGTAGCAGTCAGGGTTTCAGAGCACGGGAGAGGCTGCAGGTGTGTGGGGGGTGGAAAGCTGAAGAGTGAGGGGAAAATAAAGGTAGGTTGATGAT